GGATATACAAACTTTCCTGGTTGATGTTTTAATAATTAAAGGGGATATCCAGATCATAAATTAGATGAGTGACTTTGAAAGTTATTTTACTTTGGATCCACAGAAGTGAAATACTAAATCTCTGAAGTTGTTTCTGAAAACAGACAGGGAGATCATGATAAGAGATCATTATCCGGGACCTTATTTGAAGAAGCAACTGAAGACTGGGCCTCTTAAAAAGAAGAGAAAGGAGTTCAAAGTGGACTTATTGGATCAGGGTTTAACTGTAAAAGTTCAGATTTGGGGTTATTATTAGAATCGTTTTTTTCTGAGCAGGATTGTAAGACGTTGATTTACAGATGTAAAAGGGATTTATTTGACTTAGTTTAAAATATACATGTTACTATGATTGATATTCCTTATGCCTAGGGGGATAGATCTTTTATGTTTTACTTATTAGAAAAAGTTATAAGTTAAAATGCAAAATACATTTATTTGTCTAAGCTTAAAACATAGAGATTATTATTACTGGTACTCTTGCTGAATAAAATTGATTGATGATTTTTTTAATAATTTGGTATTGTTTAGGGATGAGAAATGGGAAGAAGAGGTTTCTTTTCCGTAATATTAGAGGAGGTGTTAAGTTACTGTAAATGCTTATACTTGTTTGGAGGGAAGTCACTTTTTATATGTTTTTCTTCTTTCTTTCTCTTAATATTTATCTTTTTCTTTTTTGTTTGTACATCTTTTTAGTTTTGTATTAATTTTTATATATGTAAAACTTTAAAAAAATATTATATATGCAAAGCAATTTCATATAAATATTAAAAAGGGCAAGAAAGAGAGGACTGACCCCTGCGGTTGGGCCACCAGACCGACCTCTCAGAACCTGGCCAGTTGACTCGGGTCGTCCTTCCCTGCTGAGAGGGGAGGGCCAGCTTGAGCCTCTTCCTGAGGCTCTCTCCTTTCCCAAGGCTTAAGCAAGGCTTCTGCCCTTGCTGTTTCTGTAGCAGCTCCTGAGTGTTTGTTGGATTGTTTATTAAATTTGTAGGCCACCTATCTCCCCCAACGGGTAACTCTGGGTGGCTCACAATTAAAACCACAAACCCAAGCCATTAAAAAACAATACCATATAAATCATTAAGATTAATCAATTAAAATCCGACTATAAAACAACCCTATACATAAATACTAAAAAACATTCAAGACGACGGGGGTGGGGGCAAGGTCCAATACCCCACAAGCCACTTCCACTGGTGGGAGCCCCCATCCGGCCCCCAGGCCTTCTGACATAGCCAGATTTTCACGCCTTTACTGAAGGCCGTGAGAATGGGGGCACATCGCACTTTGGGAGGTAGATTGTTCCACGGGGTGGGGGCCATGGCAGAAAAGATCCTCTTCCTAGATCCTGCCAGTCACAATTCCTTGACTGGTGGGGTCTGCAACATGCCCCTTCTGCTGGACCAAGTTGGGCGGGCTGATATAACAGGGGTGAGACAGCTCCTCAGATGTTCCCTTCAGGGCCACCTCCAGGTCTCTCTACACAGACAGGGTGGACCCCATAGCCCCTGCGCGTTACTGAGAGGGCATCTGAGGTTGGGGGTCTTGAAAGTGTTACATTATTTTGGTGGTAGTCCAGTAGCTGGGCGAGCAAGCTACAGATGATGGCTGTTTGGTGGGGTATTAATTAGCCTGAGTGTGTGCTTTTTACTTAGGAGGGGTTTTTGAATATTGAGGAAGCTGGAATTTGGGAGTTTCATCCCTGTAGTATTACGCTGAGGGAGACTGGGGGTGTGTGTGTCAGGTTGGCCATTCCAGGGGATTTGGTGGTGATCTTCCCTTCTCGCCGGTCAACCACATCCTAGGGGCTGAGAGGTCAGATTGCGGGCACCACTGGCCTCAAGGTGCTGATGGTTAATGCTAGGTCTGTTCATAACAAGTCCATCCTTGTCCCGTTTAGTGTCAGGCAAGACAGCAGATATGGCGCATATAACTGAAACTTAGTGGGGCAACAGCGATAATGTCTCCATACTGGAAATCTGCTCAGCCAGATGCCAGGACTTTTGGCAGCCTTGACACCCGGGCTGAGGAGTGAGGTGGCTCTAATCATGAGAAATAACCAAGCTGTGGCCAGGCGTGCTGCTGTGCAGAGTGCAACTCTGGGTTGCAGAGACAAGCTATGGGTCCTGCTAGAATACTTGCCGCTCAGCAGGATCCTTCTCTGAGCTTCTTGAGCTGGCCCTGGATTGTTGGTGGAGTATCCTAATCTTTTGGTGTTGGGTGTCTTTGGGGGCTCGTTTGGTTAAAGCTTAGGAATTCATGTCCTCCATCGAGACCACGGGCTTGTTTCGTAATATCTTGCCTTTGACACGCTGGCAGTCACACTTTGGATCTCATTTTTGTCTCCAAGTAGTTGTTGGAGGATCTGGAGATGGAGGGAATGTCCATCATCCCACTGTCAGACTATGCCCTGGTTTGGTGGTGACTGGCAGTCTCCCAGAACCTCCACAGGGAAGCAGGATCGTTTTGGATGGTCTGCTCCAGGTGCCTCAAGGATCCACTTGTTTGAAGGGCACAAAGAATTTCCCAGCTCTCTTACAGGCAATTCAATTCAATGCCCAGTAAGCACCTGGCATGGGGAGGTGAGTTGGGCACTGGACATTATTGCCTTTGAGCAGCCTCTGTTGGGGGGGGGGCTGATCCCAGGTGGCACCTTTACCAAGGACATCTGGGATTGGCTTCTTCAGGAGTTGAAGCACCAGAAACAATAGGTCCGGTGCCGGTGGAAGAAGTCTAGAAATGAATTTGGTATGTGCTCACGTTTGGGCCTACATTGTGACGATAAAGAGGGGCAAAGCATGCTTACTTCTCCTCCCTTATGGCTGCTGTCCAGCAGTTTTCTATAGGGTTCTGAATTCCATTCTGGGAAGCCTTGTAATTCTCCGAGCCCCTGTGTCCAATTTGTGCGGCACTTTGCCAATAAAGTCGCTCGGATCCACTGCGGCCCTGACTCTGCATGGACAAAATCTTTGGCCGTCATCTTGCCCTGTTATCTGGGACTCATTTTGATGCGTGACCTCTGAGGAAGCGGACAGGGTGCTGTCTCAGTTGTCTTCTGCCCTTTCCAGCTGGTACGGGAAGTGGTACGCGTGAGACCATTTGGATCTGGGAAACCGTGAGCACTTCACTGTGGGAGACCAAGTTCCTGGCACCTGGAACCCTGCAGGACGGCCCACTCTGGCTAGACCTACTCGGAAGAAACGGGTTCCGATGCCCCACTTCCAGGCGGCTTGGGGGCCTGAAGCACGGAGGCTTGGCTCTTCCGCGGCAGCCCCGACTCTGTGGAATAACCTCCCTGTGGAGATTCGGCTGGCTGCTGCTTTGTTCGTTTTCCAAAAACCATGGAAAACTGAGCTGTTTCAGGGAGACTTCCCCGATTTGGTGTTGCCCTCTTTTTTCTCCCCTACTTTCCTGGTATTTTTTGGGGTTTTTTGTATACATTGTTTATTATATTGTTTTTATTTAGATCCGTCAGGTTTTTAGATTGTACTGTGGATGGTTTAGATAGAATATCTAAGCTGCCAAGTCTTTTTTGGATTGCAGAGGGATAGAAATGCATGTAAAGAATGACTGAATGGGCTTTGTGGAGAGCCAGGGTCTCCGGTCCCCTCTGACGCTCTCCTCAACTGCTTTACATCATTCCCCACCCGATTTCGCAAGAGTTTGTCCCAGCTCTTGCGCTGTTTCTGACCGTGAGACCAAGTGTTCATCTTGCTACTATTCTGCCACATTGACTGGGTTTCAAGGGGTGCGTCTGTATGTGTTCCACATGTTAGCGCAACCTTCGCTTTTTTCTTTTCACAAAAAAATCAGTTAAAGGAGAAGTAATTATTTGGATGCCCCTTGCTCTTCTGTGCCTCAGATTCCTCTTCAAAGACGTGTTTTCTAGGAATTAATCTATTTCAATATATGCGCATTTCTGGATCACTGAGATGGATGATAAGCTTTATCGGAATGGGATAACCAATTTCATGGTTAACATTTAAAATGTGAGGAAAATGAAAATAACTGTATGTTTTCCCAAATATTTATTTTAATTTTTCCTCAAATTCAAAAATCAATGAGATAAATTGACCCTTGTTCCCTGCAGAAGCCGGGTATCTTTTCCCCCAAGAGCCAGGAGAAAACAATATACCTGGATGTCTTCTGGCCCAGGGTTCAGGGCCATGAAAAGATCTGTGACGCCTACCTCCTAGGATGCTGAGCTCTTGGGAAAGTTCATCCAAACCACCTCAGAGCAGAAGAGGAGGAGCCACAGCGACATCCAATTTATATTGCCTTCCTTCTCTTCAGCTGCATCTTGGCTCTCACAAAAATAGTTCAATTTCACTACCATCGTTCAAGAGCCACAAAGGGGTTCCAAGAGGAGTGTGGCCTTCTCAGTAGCGGCTCTTGAGCTGTCATTCATTTCTATTCCTCTTTGCCAAAGATATATAAACATGCTTTAAATCTGTCCACCCTGTAGGAAACCAATGCAATTAACTGGAAATAAACTATGTTTATTCTTAGCTGCTCTGAATTTGCTGTTTTAGTTTTGCTATGTGGTTTGAAAAGCAGCTCAGGGACATTTCTGTTGTTTTCATAAAAGGCAAGTTATCAAATAAAAATAAATAAAGGAAAAAAGAGCTGCATGTCAGCTCAGGTTCCCCCCAGTCAGATCATCCTTCCTTGACATCTACTGGCCCACCCCTGAATGTCTGGGCTGAGCGAGTGGATGCCCAGTAGACCTTCGGGGGGGGGGGGGGGTCCGAGCCTGAGAAAATGGCTCTGGCTGCTGCTAGCAGGAGCAGCTTCCGTTCTTGTCCTACCGTCCTTCTTGCTTCTCGTCAGCCTGGGGTCTCACTACTACCTCCTGGGGGAAATTGCCAGAGGCTGAGCAGAACGCCCCGTGAACAGTACCTGGTGTGGAGATGACTCCCAAAGCCCCAAATGTAAGCAAAGACAAAGATGCTCTGGGCAAGCAGGTGGTGATGGGCAGGGATCGTCTCATCCAGGCTGTGAGGCGTCCAGGTGGAAAGCGTCCTGGTCTTGGTTTCTGGAGGAAAGAAGACGCGGGCTCATCCAGGCTCGCAGGGCCATGGTAAGGAAAGGGTCAGCCAAGCCAGGAGGCGGCATGGAACTCGTTGTGGCTGGGAACCCCCCTCTCCGCCCGCTCACCTCTTTCCACAAGGCCCCCACAAGGGGATCAGCAGCTACTGAACGCAACACTCACCTGCTGACTCCTGGGCGGCAGGCAGGGGCTTGTTCTTGTCGCGGCGCAAGTAGTGCTCAAGCAGCGCATGGAAGATCCTGGCGAAGGCCGTGGTCTCCTGGACGCCCTGGGCCACGGGGTTCCGGGGGTGGGCATGGGGCAGCAGGACAGAACAGCAGTGCTGCTGCAGGAACGCCAGCGTGGCAGGGAAGAGCTCCCTGGCCAAGCTGTGCAGCGCGGCCAGGCTGTCCTGGGAGAGGCTGTATTTGCGGTACACGGGGGCAAACGCGGAGGACAGCAGCACCTGCCAGAGGCGGGACCCCTCAAAGTGCAGCAGGGCACAATGCGTGCAGACAGAGGGGGGCAGTCCGGAGGCATCCAGCATCTCGAAGAGGAATCGGATGCTTTCAGGGGCCTGGAGCTTCTGCCCGTTGGGCAGGCTGAGAAAAGGCCTGGTGCTGAAGAGTAAGGAGATGGGCTCCAGCCATTCTGTGCAGGCAGCGCCATCCAGCACCAGCCACTGCTGGGGGCTCCCCTTACCTGTCCCACAAGCTACAGCGGAGGTGGCTGCCCTTTGCAGCACCCGGGAGAAGACCCCATCTTGCCATATGCTGTCCTCTAGGCTGCCCACAAACTCAGACAGGCTCAGGGCATTGGGCCACAAGCAGACAGTACTTACGGGTCGGAAGACCACCTTCTTGTGTGCCTCTGAACTCTGCATGCCAGGAGTCGCATCGCTGGCCGCCAGCCTACTCTGGGCTTTAGCCAGGGTTCGCCAGGTCGTGGTCTTGCCACTTCCTGAGGGCCCCAGGAGGAGGATGCTGGTGGCCCCCTGCACAGCCTGGGAGAGCTGGCCAGCAGCCTGCAGGAGATCTGGGTCCGACTGCAGTTTATCCTCCTGCAGCTGACCCACCAGAGCACTCTGCAGCCGATGGGGCAGCTGCTCGGAGGGTGGCAAAAAGGCACTAGGGAAGATTTCGTGGAGCAGCTCTCGTATGTTCTGGAGCCGAGGACCCTCAGGGCCACTGAACAAGGGCGAGAGGCACAGAGCTTTCACAACGGCGGGCTCTTCTTCAAGACCCAAGAAGAAGGCGGTCCGAGGAGAGGGCCTGGCTTTGACGGGCAAAAGATCTTGCCCTGGTAAGGGAGTAAACAAGATGTCTATGGCCATTGCAATCACATTCTGGATGAGGGTGGGGCGGCTGAGGTGGGGCCCAGGATTTAGCATCCTCTCCAACTTTAGGAAAGCACAGAGTTTCTCTGCTAGGCGTGCTGCCTCCCGGAAGCCAGCTGCAAGCAGCGTGACCTCCGCGAGCCTAGTGAGGTCAGGGGGCAGAACAGCCAAGGGGCGCACGGCCAAACGCAGGGGCTCTGGAAGATGCTCCAGGGTGACCATGCAGCCGTAAGTCTCCCGCACGCGTAGCAGCTTCCCCCCAAAGAGAACGTTTCCCAGGACCCGTGGCTGATAGGGCTCAGCCTCATCAGTGCCCAGCTCTGGCAAAGCCAGGGCAGGCTGCCCCTCGCCCTCCTCCGAGCTGTCTGAGCTCTCTGAGCCTGGGCTGGCAGAGGGAAAGACGGTGGAGGACCGGCCAGGCTTGGTCCCCCTGCCCTCCTGCAAATTCAGACACATCCTCTGCAGGTCGATGAGGCACTGGCCGAAGGCAGAGAGCACGGCAGGTTCCAGTCGCTCGACGGACTCCAGCAGCAGCAGGGCCCCAGACTGCACAGCCCCACAGAGGTGCCGAGAGAGGCATCTGATAGACATCTGCATGGTGCAGTGCAGAGTGACCAGGTGGCGGCCAAGAAACTGTGCCAGACCCTGCACGGTGTGAGACTTGCCCACATCTGGGCAGCCTAGCAGGCCCCCGCAGCAGAACTCCTCCAAGGCCAGCAGCAAACCCAGGAAGGTCCCGTCTAGCGAAGGGCTGCCCAGCAGCTGCTGGCTGGTGCCCAGGAACTCATAGCCATAAGGGAACCGTCTGTCAAGGACTTCAGCCCAGCAGCCAGGAGGACTGCCCACCCAGGGGCTGCTGGGAGGGAGCCCTGCTGCCTGGGCTTTCTCGGGCAGCAGGCTGATGCTGTACTTGAGGTGCCGGGCCCACTCGAAGGATTGCGCAGAGGTCACCTGGTGCTTGAGCAACTGGGTCGTGAAGTCGCGTTGCTGGACGGTGACAACCATCAGCGCCCCCAGCAACATGCCCAGGTGATCCTGCTCAGGGTTCCAGGCATGGATGCTGCGGTAGTTGCGGATGTAGTGGGCCACAGCCTCCACCTTCAAGCTCAGCTTGAGCTCCAGCCTCCGCTGCAGCCAGGCGTTCGAGAAGGCTTCCTCCATGGCCACGCGCCACAGCGCCGCCTCGGCCAGCAGCACGCACTGAGTCGGGAAGGCGCCGCCCAGCCCCGCCCAGCACTCCGCCACCAAGTGGAGGGGCAACTCTGTAGGGCCGGGGCGCCGCTCAAAGGCCAGGTCCAGCTGTGGCCTCAGGGCCAGGCGCTGGGCCACGCACTCTTGCACCTGGTTGAAGACAGACTCCTTCATGCGCTGCTCCAGGATGCAGAGCCACCGAGTGGCCTTCCGGCTGAGGGACACCGTGCTGCGCAGCTTCAGCTTCTCGCCGTGACTGCCCAGCAGGCCGGTCACCTGCACCACTGGGAGCTCGGTGGACATGGTGCCACGGTTCTGCGAAGTTGGGGGCAGGACCAGTTCTAGCTGGCGCACCCCAGGGAAGCAGCGCCGGGACCAAGCCGAGGCATCCGCAGCCTCAGAGGCAGTGGAGAGCATCGCTACCAGCTCCTCGTTGCTGAGGAAAAACAGGCGGGGGAAGCCCATCCGCGTGGCCTCCAGCACGTAGTCCAGGGCCCGGATGATGCTCTGCAGGTCTCCAGAGCCGTCGACGAAAGCAGCCTGTAAGGCGCTGCCCACAAAGCGGCTGTCCCGGCTTGAGCCTGCCCCTAATTGGACACTGGACAGCACCAGGGGGTCGTTGCAGGTCAGTCGCATAACCTCTCGAAAGTGGGCGTCCACTCGCTGGAACCGGGAATCCTGCACAGACCACGAACCACAAAGACAGATGGTGGGAGGGAGGAGGAGGGGCCCGGGGGGAGCAGGGTGACCCTTTCGGGCACAACACTGGCTTACCAGTTCAGCACTGGGTAGGGTAATGTTCATCTCATAGAGAACTATGTTCAAGAAAACCCACTTCTGTTGGAAACTAACCCAGGCGTAAAGGAGGGATTCTGGCGGGGAGAGAAAGGCGGGGAGAAAGAAGAGGAAAGAGGACATAACGGTTAGATTCACCGGTCACTAGGCGAAAGGCTAGGGCTTTTAGCACTGACTTCCTGAACGCACCACAACTGGCTGGGTTCTCACAGCACCCTGAACACGGTAACAAACCATAAAGACAGGTTTGCACAGCACTGGGAGCCAAAGCAAGCCAAGTTCTGAGTCAGGCCAACATCTCTTCCATTCCTGCATGTTCCACCTCTCCCCAAAAGACAAACGGGTTCAGTGAGATGGGCACACCTCGGCCACTACAGATGCCCAAGGGGCTCCTTCACCCTGCGTCTCAAAGGGTATCGCTCCCTATTTCCTCACCAAAAGTACGCAAGGTGGACACCCAGCTTTTAGCCTCTTCTAAGATGTCAGAAGAGAAGGGAGACAGGATCACGTTCTGGAGGGTTAAGATGTTGTGCTCCACAACGGCCTTCAGCTCAGTGGTATCTGCAGCAAAAGATGAAGAGCTGGACCGAGGGACCCGTCTGGATGTCTGGCCCAAATTAAGCAGAATATTTTTTTTCCCATCGTGTGTGAGGGAAGAGTTGGAAATGTCCCCACTGAACGAAGTACCCAATGGTGTATCTCACTGCCATTTCCCCACTCCCAGCGGGAAAAACACCAGAACGAGCACACGGCCCACGGCTGCTCCGGTTCCTGGCCCTTGCCTGGCCAAAGAGTGCTCACGGCTGCTCTCCCGGGTCAACACTCAGCCCGAACCCATCGGCATCGCCGGATCTCTTGGGGCCTCACCCGACAGCACATAGGTGCCGCTGTCCTTGGAGATATACTCGAGCTTGGCCGCACGCTGGCGGCCGCTTGCTGGACGCCGGAAGCGTTCTGGCTGCGGTTCCTGGTAGGGCACGTTGAGAATGAAATTGACGAGACGGAACTGCTTCTCTGCCCAGGCCCTCTGAATGCGCTGGAGCGTGTCTCTGGCGCAGTGGCGGCTCTTCTCCCAGGCATAGACCTGATTGTCAAATGAGAGGACTGCTCTCCAACGGCCCAGCCCACCAGGAGCAGGGGAATAACCGAGAGCCTCAGCTTCTTGCCGTGACTCCGTTTCAACTAGCCTGCCGTGTGCCAAGCCACTCACTCTAAAGATGGCATCACTGTGTTCCAGCAGTGGGTAAGAGAGGAGCTGGCCCAGTGTGAACTGCATATTCAAAGGACACTTGACACCCATCACTGAAAGAGAGCAGGGAACGTGAGTCAACTGGCACTCCCTCCTTCCACCCACCCGAGTTGCCGAGCTGTTTGTATTCTGTAGCCTAGTGCCAACCCTCCTAGTTTAGCTGCACCCCCAGAGCTGCCATCACTTGTGCAGTTTGGCTCTTACAAAACCCAGCACAAGAACCCACTTCAGTCCCTTCCTAGCATTTCAAAGCAGGAAACTCCTGGAACCAGCCCCACCTGACCCCTCACCAGCAAAGATCTCTTTCCAGCAGCTGAGCTTCAGAAAGTGGCTACCGAGCTTCAGGAGCAAGGGCAGGTACTTCTGGAAGTTGGCAATGGCGCACAGGCAGGCTTGAAGGACACGGTGGTTGCTGGGCAGGGAGGGCTCCATGCTGATCCCCTCCTTCTGCCACTCCTCTGTCTTCTCCAGGGCCAGAGGGGCATTGAACTGCCAACAGGGAAGGGCCATCAGGAGAGGGCTGCCAGGCTTCCCAGCCTGGACTCAGATCCCCCGACCCTTCGCAGTCCAGCTGAACGCCCTGGCTGGACTGGGCAGGCAACTGCAGACATGATTTGGCTGAACAAAAATCCTTATCGCAGGTAAGAATGGAGCTGCACAAAACAGTTGATTGCCCACGAGCCTGGAACGGAGTCCCAGCTCAGAAGAACCCCGTGCATAAATATCTAGATGTCGCTGCCAGAGGGGAGCTGGCCTGGCACGGGGCTGTCCAAGGGGGGAGGAGGGGTAATGTCGGTGTAGGGACCGAACCAACTCCCGTGGCATAGGGGAGAGGGCTCGGGTGGCCACTACCTTGACAAACGCCAAACACTTCCACTCCTTGATCTGTTCAGAAACAATGCGGAAAAGCCGCCAGACCCGGGTGTGAATCTTGATGATCTCCTGCTTTCCGGTGATGAAAGAGACATCCATGCATTCCCCTGAGAAGAGATCAGGAGGCCCCTGACTCGCCTATCATGCGCAGGACCCGCAGGACTCCCGTGGGCTTGGCCAGCAGCTCTCACCTGTCAGGATCCGCTGGGAGTGGCAGAGGTCGGTAACCCGCGCCACCACGGTTTGGAAGCGCCGGAGGAGCTGGTTCAGCTCATCTTCCATGGCACGGGGGTTCTGGGCTGGGTCCTGAAAGCGACCCACGGTAACCATGGCCAGCAGCTCCTGGAGTTCCCGAGTGGCTTTCTGGAGGGAGCTGCTGAGCTCAGCAATGATGCTGAGGCGCCGTGAGACGATGAAGTCGGAGACCTCCCGCTGCTGGTACATGAACGCGTCCCAGGTGTCCGAGAGCTGCAGTGGGAGAGGCGGGAGAGGGGGGCTCAGGCCCCGTCTGCCCCACCCCCAGCGGGCTCGAGGCCTGCACATCCGGCCCAGCCCCTGCTCGGGGCAGAACCCCCGACAGCATCAGCTCTTCCTGGGGCAGCCTGTTCCGCTTCTCAGCAGCACTCACCAACGGTTCTAGTCCTGCCCTGGGGCAATAAAGAACGCGGCACGTCTGCTCCCTTTTCAGATATTGGACCTCTGCTGCCGTGCCTCCCCTCAGCCGTCTCCTCTGTGAGCCCCCTACCTGATCCTCACCCGTCCCTGACAGCGCTTGGTTTCCAGGCTCTTCCCCCAGCTTGGTCTCTCTCCCCTCCCGCTTGTCACTGTCCCTTCTGAACCAGAGTGCCCAGAGCGGGACGCAGCTATTTCAGGTGGGATCTGAACAGAGCAGAGCGATCTGTACGCTAGGTTTCTGCCCCTACAGCCCAAAATAGCATTTGCCTTTTTGCAGCTTCATCCCAGGGCTGAATCATAATTAACCTGAGAACGTGGAGGCCCCTTTCACGTGTATGACTCCCCATCCTATTCTTGCGCCTTTTTACTCTCAGGCTGATAAAGATGGTAAACGACTTTCTGCAAACTCTATTATCTGTGAAAAAACCTGCTAGTACACTGGTTTACAGGAAGGCAATTCAAAAGAAAATAAAGTCCGGCTTCAGATGGGAGTCGCTGGAATTTTTGTAGCCCAGCCCCTTTCTTCTGAATACATCTTGCTAAAGAGACGCAGTGAGAATTGTGCTTGGAAAAGAATCACTTTCAGTTTTAAGCAGATACCAAAAAGACTTTTTCTCACCCAGAAGTGGAACCTGACATTGCTCCCTGTTTAGGGCCACCCAACTCCTTTCAGCCCTGCGCTCAGGCTAAATCGTGTTAAATCCTCTCTCTCTCTCCTTTAAAGTATTAGCCACCCTTCACGCAACTGGTCTCAAGCAGCCGCCTGAGGAAAACAGAACCTGGAGACTGGGGGCATTGCTCCATTTTCAGCCTTCCATGCCAGTTTCCCCAGAAGGTCAAAAGGCAGGGAAGATCGCACCCGCGCACCTTCCCCCAACCCCTCTGCACTTACAACACACCCACCACTCACAATCCCTTGCACACCCTTCCTAACCTATGTGGCACCCCCACACACCCTCCCAAACTGCACAGCGCCTCTCACATATCCTCCCCTCCCCTCCCCTCTCCGACCCACGCTGCACCCCCGTGCACCTTCCCTGACCTGTGTGGTGCCTCTCGCGCACCCTGTGCACTCTCCCCAACCCACGCCGCACCCTCACACACCTTCTCCGACCCATGTGGCGCCTCTCGCACACCCCCTCGCTCCCTCCCCCACCTGGCAAGCAGCCACTTACCTGCCTGTCAGCTGGGACTTGCAACTTCCTGCCGGCTTCCCCACTGACTTGGTTGTGGGAATCCGGCAGGAAGTTGGCTTGCCCAACAACCGGGACTACAGAGATTGCCATCGCTAAGTGATGTGGTCGCACTTTATGACCACATTGCTTAGCAACTGAAATTCCGGTCCCAATTGTTGTCGTAAGTTGAGGACTACCTGTATGCTATTTTGAGAAATACCCCTGTCTTAATACCAGCTGAACTAAAAGAACAAATAGGCGGGCCAAAGAACAGATAGCCCTACTCGAAAAGCAGTACTGGACCAGACAGCTTTGGGCAGAGAAGATGGAGCGTGGAAGTGGAGGCTGAACCTTCTCTCCCCCACCTAGTTGTGGGGGAAGGCCCAACTGGTGTCCTTTTTTCTTTGCTGCAAGAGAAGATGCAGAGCCATCCCTCCCCAGGCCCGTGCCTCAGGGAGGGAACCGGCTTAGCAGGAGCCAAGCAAGAATCTGCTCCTTCTAGCTTTATTTGAACTCCACCTTCCTCCCTGGAGGGGGAAGGCCAGCAGCCGGGGGCGCAGACGGGGATGGAGGTTTGCAAGAAGGGCCAGTGGAGCCTGGCTCCTGATCATGTTTAGGCAGTCACACGAGAGCCGTTCTGCACACCTAGAAAAACATTTTCCTCCTTCCTCCCACCAAGATCTTTCCTCGCCCGTTACCCAAAGGGATGGCTCTACCCAGGCATAAGTAGGCCCTTACCATGTTTTCCAGACTTTCTTCGCTAGGGCTAAGAGGGCGAAAGCACTGCTGTACAACCTCATTGAGGGAGCGCACATAGTCCACATATTCCTGCAGCTCAGTCATCTGGCCCTGGTACTGCTCCAGCTGTGGAGGAATAAACAAGAGCCACAACCCGCAATCAGTACCAGAATTATTCCAAATGTTTGGCATTCTGACCCCACAAGTTTAAGCCACTTACAAATCTGCCCCCCCTTCCCTCTATCTCAGGTTGGGCATTCATCCCAGCCCCCAGTTCCATCCCACAAGTTGTGATGAATTTCCTGGTCTCCCAGGAAACGTCACTGTAGCACACAGAGTCTGAAACTGGTAGTTTAGCAGAGAAAAAGCAGGAGAAGCAGAAGACAAAATGGAGTCCACCATCCCAGGAAAAGCAGCTTCGTGTAATTGCAAAGCTGCCCACAGAGATCTAGACCACGCTCATCTGCCACTGCAGCTTCCCTAAAAGATACCTCAACCTAAGCCACGTTTACAGGAACAGTAGCCTTCTTGGTCCCGGGGACTTCTACCTCAGTTCTTATGAAAAGTGAATCAGGAACACCAACGGGATTTTGCCAGTGTGAATCAGTAGGAATCCTTAACAAATTTTCCCTCAAGGTTAACAATGTACAGCGGGTTAACCTGGGGGCTTGAGATGCAAATAAATAGAAACCGAACCATACAATGTAAACGGCTCATCTACTCCAATCCCTGCTAAGTGCAAGAATCCATTCCTAGAGCATCCCCCACAGATGGACATCTAGCCTCGAAGTACATCCAGCTAAAGAGACTCCATATGCCCTGTCCCATTCTTGAACAATTCTTAACATCAGGAAATTATTTCTGATGTCCCATCAAAACTTGCTTCCTTGTAAGTTGAACTCATCGTGTCTTGTCTTCTGGACCAGCGCTGAACGATCTACTCTGCTGTCTAGACGCCTTTAAGGTATTTTATCATGTCTCCCCAGTCTTCTCTCCTTCAGATAAAACATACCTGATTAAACAGCTGCAACTGTTCCTCACAAGTTCTTCTTTTTCTTTCCAGGACCTTCATCATCCTTGTTGCTTGTTGCTTGCTTCAGGACACACACCACCACAAGGTGGTGTGACCAAGCCAGAGCAAAGAGGCCTTCTCCTGACATTGCTCAGTCCTGCTTTTGCTTTTTTGGCAGGCGCATCACATGACTTTGGATCCATCGAGACATTCATACCCTTTTTGCACATCCTTCTGTCCCCTCCCCATCCTATGACCAGACCCCTGATCTTCGCCAAACGTAGGGCTGTCGCAGGGAAGAGGGGTGGATTTAGGGCAAGAGACAGGGCTGGAAGCCTCACAGGAGGAGATCCAGGCTCAGAATTTCCTGATTGTGAGCGCTATGAAGCAACGAACAGCCTGCCCCTGTGGAGTCACGGCAGCTCCAGCACCGGGGGTTTTCAAGCAAAGGCTGGACAGCCTTTTCCCTGGCATGGTCTGAAGACTCCTGTCCTGAGCAGGGGTGGACAAGAAGACCTCCAAGGCCTCTTCCAACCCTAGTATTCCATGATTCTACTCAAGGGAGCAAGGATCTGGCGTATGAGTTCCTTACAGATGCTGACTACCAATGGGTGCTGATAATGAAATATGGTCGTCCTTCACATAGATCTTTGTATAAAACTCTATGCACACGTGTGCATACACATGTATGCGTGTGTGCTGCAAGATAAGTATATAAAAATGGTAGGGTCAGAAAAAATAGATTTCTCAAGAATAAAGCCTACAAGACTAATTTCACCCATTTTAGACTGTTGAATTTTTTTATTCTGCCCTCCCCCCACACACATACATCCTGCTGTGCTGCCTCGTGGCAGAGGGACGAGCAGAGAATGTCAGGAGCGTGTGCCACGGGCACATCATCCTGGCAGGGCCCCCCACGGCGCGAAGGTCATCCCAGCTGCCCAGCTAAAGCCAGCAGGCAGCAATACAGGGAGATGCCGGAGGCAGAGGATCACTGTCGGGACAAGAGCAAAGGCATCCATTCATCCTGCATGCGAAAAGGCAGTGCTAAACCGCTCCTGTAATTTACCAAGAAAACCACATGGATAGAAATATTGTAATTTCTTTGTTTGATTGTTGTGAGCCACCCAGAGTTGTTGAGTCTAGTCAAATAAATAAACAAACAAACCAATTAAAATGACTGAGAATATAGTGCCAGATGATGGGCCCCTTAGGGGGACAACCCTCAACATACTACTGAGGAAGAACTGAGGATCCTTTGAAGTACTAATAGCATTTATGACTAGATTAAAGCCACATAGATTAAAGCCTTTAGGACATCTAGTTGCTGATGTTGCCACACAGGAAAAGAAAATCCAAAGCTGCAAAGACAGAAATACAGTGGAAACATGGACTGTAAGTAGCATGAACACAGGAAAGCTAAACACAGTGAAAGATGAAATGAAATTTGACATCAGAGATGGAGACTGCTTGGGCTTCGGCACTTTTCAGTGACAAGATCATATTGTGTCAGACCATGAAATAAACTCCGCAGGATGGCTAAAACTGTTTTTATTGAGATTGGCTATAACAACAGAATCTTGCAAGGCTGGTTATGCTATACCACCTCGTCGTCCTCCTATGTTTCCTTGGCTGTCCATGACATTCACAGGAGCTTTCGTCAACACCAAGGTTCAGAAGTGTCAATCCTCTTCCTATCCTACTCCTTCAAAATCCAACTTTCAGTTCCATAGAATGTCACAGGAAATACCATGGCTTGCAGTTCTGAATTTTGTAGATATACACACATCACAGCATTTAAATACCTTTTCCAAGGTATCTACCAAGAGCTGGCCTGCAGACTGCTTGTTCCTTTCCCATAGATGGTTGATCCTAAAAGGCAGAAGCTCTCCACCGCTTCGATTTGCTAATTATCAGTTCTGAGGCCGGCTGCTGTACCTGTTGTCATTAGTTGGGGCTTCTTTATATTTAATTTTAGTCCCATTTTTTTCACTGTGCTCCTTGACATTAATTGCTAGAGCTTGCACATCCTTTGCATTTCTGGTTATCAGGGTAGTGTCATTATAAGCAGATTACTGATGTTTCTCCCTCCAATTTTAAAACCCATCTTCTTCCAATCCAGTTTCCCCTTGGTTAATGAGAGTTATTAAAACCAGAAACTCCATTGCTAAGTGACGCAGTCGTAAAGCGTGACATCACGTGACCACATCAACTTATGGTGGTGGTTCCGGCAGTTCCAGCTGCAGTCATCCGGCAAACCCCACGTGGTCATTAGGCACGACATCACGTGGTCTCCATCGGCGACCTCCAGTCAGCTCTATCTCCTAACCACACCTACGCCCCCTCTCACCAGGCCGGCAGGACATCCATTCTGTCATGCCAGCCGAGGGTAATTCAGGCTGCCGCCCTCATCCAGGCTCTCACCCATAGAATTACTCTCCTTACGCATCCATATCCTCCACTGGATGGAGAGCCCGTATCAAACAAAGCCCACCAGGCTTCAGATGATTCAAAGTCCATGGGGGGCTCTGTGTGTGTGTGTGTGTGTGTGTGTGTGTGTGTGTAAAATGGCAGCAGCAGGCTCCAAACCAACATTTACTCTTGGCCTGCTTTCGCTGCTGCCCCCTCCCCACCGCTTAAGCGGCCCAGTGCCCCACAGGAACCAGTGCCGCCAGTACTTTCCAGTTGCTGCAGCCGTTGTCCAAACCTTGGGCTCCTGCCTTCCCTGCACAGGCAGCTGGGGAGGCTTCTTAGTTGCAGCCGCCAGTTTCCTTCCTGTGCCGTGTGGCACCGAATGCCTCAAGAACAGCGGATTAGCGCGAAAACTGCCACACAGCTGATTCCATTGGCTAACACGTGGAGCACTGCCACGCAACTCCTCCTCCACCACCAGCAGCAGCACCAGGAGGATGGATCTCCCTTGCACCAAGCGAAACGAACCCCACGCGGCTCTCTCCCAAGTCAACCAGAGGTCTAATAGGGGGTACAAGCTGCACCAGTCTGATGAAAAAGAGCTCAGGTCCAGCCAAGGGGTCTCCACCAATGTCCCATCCAAACAACTTCACCACAAATGAACTCACCGCAAACTCACCACAACATTCAAATTAGCATCTCTCTAGAGCTCGAGATCGCAAACAACCAACCGCAGCACCACCTCGCTCACCATTGTGTCTTAGCTTAGTTAGTATAATATCCTTAATTTCACATGCTAGCCATGTAATTCTTAGGATTGTCCAATGCATATTAGAGCCCTGCATGGAAAGGAAGCTGCGTGGGAAGGGCATTTGAATCTCTTTTCCAAGACCTTCATGGCTGCTCTATCAAGTGCTAGTCTGTGGTGTATTTCTTGACTCCTTGTTCATTTACTGTTGATGGTTGATCCTAAAAGGCAGAAGCTGTCCACCACTGTCCTATCTTCATTGTCAGTTTTAAGGCTGGTTGTTCTACCTGTTGTCATTATTTTGGTCTTTGTATTTAATCTTAGTCCCGTTTTTCACTGTGCTCCTTTGCTACATGGTACAAAGTTAAAAACCACAAGTTAATTGTATACCACCTGGATAGGCAGAAGATACAAATGAGATCTTTCTGCATCAGATGGCCAGTCTTTCAAATAAGCATGCAATAGTGATAATGGGGGCTTTCGGTTATCCAATCTAACTCTGCCTGGAGTCAAAGATTCAACAAACTCTTGTTGCTCTCTTGCTATTAACTTCATTTGTCAGAAAGTGGAAGGAAGAGCAAGGGGGTCTGCTGTCCTAGACTAAATCCTCACCAAGAAGGTGGTATTGGTTGAAAAGGGAGGGTGACAAGCCCCTTGGGGAAAAGTGATGAGAGGAGTCAAATCTGCACACTGGACTTCAGCTGGGCAGATTCTGATAAACTCCAAGAGAAGGTGGATTGGATCCAATGGTTTAAAATCCTGAAGGCAAAAAATATCTAGGGAAGATGGGAAATCCTACAAATCAAGATACTGAAGGTACCATCGGAAACAATTCCTACAAGAAAAAGAAAAGGGAGAAATCTAAAGAGGCAAGAATGGATGCATGCAGTGCTCTCTTCATTTCTGGAGAAAAAAAGGGGGGCATACTTAGAAAATTGAAGGAGGTGCACGTACAAAAAAAGAATATGAGGTACTCCCCAGAAACTGTAGAAACATGTCAGGAAAATAACCTGAGACTTGCAAGAGAGATCAAAAACAAGAGAAAAAGAGTTATTTGGGTATAGGTCCACCATGAGGAGAAAGTGGCGAATTGGTAACGGGTGATAGTGGGAAAGCAGAACTCCTTCACTTCTGTTCTGAGTCTGACTTCTCAGACAGAAAATGGGGCCCCAGCTGGTCATCACCGTGGCACTGGAGAAGGAGGGAACAGCCTTAGAACGGAGAGAGGCAGGGAAAGAGGGAACTTAACCCACTTAAACCAACGCAAGTCCCCAGAGCCAGGTGGCTTGCATCCCAGCCTACTGAAGGAGCGGATGGAAGCGACTGCAGTGCTGCTCTCGGGGATCTTCTGGGAACTCCTGCGCAGCTCAATACCGCTCCGCATCTGTAAAACCCCAGAGGAGTATCCAGGAGGGGCGAGAAGTCCTACAAGACAAGACGCTGACGCCGCAATGGCAAACAACTCCGGCAAGGAAACCGGCACAAGATTTTCCCTCACACCGCTGAAAAATTTAAGTATAGCTTAAACATTATTCATAGCCCTGCTCCTGTTTTTTCTAAATTCAAAACAATTTCCTGGTGGTTTTTGGAGACCTGGAACTATTTGAAAACTTTAGTTGGCCCAATAGAGGATTCCTTTTTTCTGCTCATGTTTTTATGAGCGGAGTGATTTTATTTTAAACTATCTTAGTTGCTTTGAAAGAGAGGCAGAAAAAAAACCCATCAGTAAATAAAGAGATTTGGCCAAAGCTGTCCCTATTTGCAGGAGGAGGAACCTACCTTCTGCGAGCACTTAGCAATGGTAAAGATGTCAGTGCCAACATTCACATACAGCTGCAGGACAGCGGCCAGCTCTGCAATGAACTGCTCGCTGCGTTTTGTGGTCTCGATCAGCAGGAGGGTCAGGATATCTTCATCAATGGACGCCAGCAGGGGCACTGTGAAGAGAGCAGAGCGGACTCGTAGGCCCTGGTGACCCAAGGGGCCCTTCCCCCTCTTCCCCCCGCGCACGTACGGATATCCTGATGAATACCGCTGCAGTCCACTAAGAAGAGGCGGTTGTGTGTGATGACAACATGGGGCACCTTCTGGACCTGGACCACCCACGTGCGCAACTTGAGGATCTGATTTACATACTCTTCCGCCGGCCAGCCCTTCATGTTCTCCAGCTGAGAGGAGCTCCAGCTGTGCACGTACTGGTAGATCTGACTCAGCCAGGCGTACTCGCGGCAGAGCAGCTGCGTCTCTGTCAGCGCAGCCTGCGGGCGAGGTGGGAGAGAGAGAACACGTGGCCGAGTCTCTTCAGGTGACACGGACTATCCCAGAGGAAAGCCATGAGTCAGTCGGGAGAGAAAGGCAGCCTGGCGCTGCCGAAGCACGTGCAAGGCACTTCGCTGGGTTCCTGAATCAATTCCTTTTGGGGGGTTGAACAATACCCTCCACTAAACTGACCACACAGGCTGGGCTCACAGAACACAGTCAGCCGTACAAAAACAAACCAAGGTTAAAACTAACCAACTTGGGCAAATGCAGCCACCAAGCGTGTAATCAATGTGTGTTGTGTGAGTACAGCAGGTCAATATATATGTGTAGAATTGTAATAACGTTTATTATAATAATAATTATTATATTATAATAACATAGTACATGTTATAATATACACATATAAACTTTATTAAAATTCTACACATAAAATAAACATAAAAAACACAATTCGTAAACATATATAGAAACATAAACCTGCAAATGCAAAACTAAACATCTAACTTGAAAAACACATCGTCCGCTTCCACCCTTCACTTTCCTCATGGATCCGTTAACCGTTTCTTATTCTTTTACACTGTTGTAATCACTATTTACATTTTCCATTATCTTCCCTTAATCTACAAAACCCTTCATCTTCAAGCCATTTTTCTCCACTTTTACACTATTGTCCATAAATGGACTCCAGTCTTTAATAAAAGCCTCCGTAGATTTCTCTCTCGCTAGACGCTTAGTTTGGCCATGTCCGCCAAGTCCGTAACCTTAAATATCCAGTCTTCAACATTCGGAGCTTTTTCATTTTTCTATTTCTGCACATATAATAATCTTGCCGCAGTGATCAAATGCAGCAATAAGACACTGTGTTTTTTACTCAGTTCTTCTACTATAAACCCTAATAAGTTCAGTTCGGGTTTCACCTGAAAAGGGATTCCTATTATTTTCACCAATGTCCCATGGATCATCAACCAAAATTTTTTGGCCACTTCCCCCACGTATAATAAGTTCCATCCTCTTTTCCACATTTCCAATATTTACTTGAAAAGCTCTTATACATTTTAGATAGTTTCACAGGTGTCAAATGCCATCTATACACCATTTAATAAAAAAAATTCTCTTAAGTTATTGTGCACAGTAAATTTAATATTTTTAGTCCACACTTTTCTCCCAAATATCCATGCCAATGCTGTGCCCCAAATTTAGCATCTATCTAATACTACATTAACTTGTTCAGCTTCTGTATTGTATTTTAATAGCAATGTATAAATTCTTGCAATTACATGTTGGTCATCTTTGCACAGTTCTATTTCAAATTCATTCTTACTCCCTCCTGTATCTCGTTTCACATCCTTTTCAAGTCGTGCCTTTATCTGTGCATTGGCAAACCAAGTCCAATTTATACTTTCTGTATTGAACTGCGCTCTCGTCCTAAGTACAGGCTTAACTCGTTTCCAGTGTCGGACTAGATGATCCTGGTGGTTTCTTCCCACTCCACTGTCAGATATTTCTATGATTCTATACATAAATACGGGAAGGAATAGGTCAAGTAACCAGACCTAAGGATTCCACGGTCTCTATATAGAATATGAGAACAAACGGTAGGAATTAAAAATCTTAATTCAAGAAGATGAATGCGGTTTAGCAAGCACTACTGAAACTTGATCAGGTAAAGTTCATGTTTGGACTTAACCCATACCCAAGGACTGAGGGTATAATGTGTCCAAAAGGAACAGGCCAGACGAGGACACTTCCTGTGGGCACCGTGGTGGGCTGACATCCTGCTCATGACAGGACAGCTTTGGGAGGAGAATCGTGGCGGGATGCTGCATCTGGACTGGCGAAATTTCTCCAGGAGAAATCGCTGACATTATCCATGACTCTGGACAGCCACTACTCGTGAGTAGACCACGGAAACTGCCGTTTTGCAGTTAGCTTACAGGTGGAGAGGCTGGGGGTCAGGATTTCATCAAGTTTGCACTTGCAAAGCAGCCTTTTATGGACATTAAGTTTGACTGAGCCTTATTTCTTAATCACTTTTTGGGACTTGAATTATTAATTTTTTGTTTTTGTTTACTGGAGAGATTAAGACCATTCGGACCAGCAAGGCTTTACTGTATTCATCGGGTGAGTTTCCTCCTCCTTAGAGGACAATGGTGTAAATTCGATTTTAAAAGTTTTTAAAATCTATCATTTCTTGGACTATACAGCAAAAGGATCCTTAGTATACAGATTTTGGAAAGTTAACAATGGATTAAGGGGCTAGAGCAATTTGGAATTATAGTGTTGAATTAATTAGAAGATATTTTCTCATGAGAAGATGGTGACTGTTGTGGCTTTTTTATAAGAACATTTTGGCTGTTTTTACAATGAGGAGACCTTAAAGGTGGACACTAGAGGGAGCTAGAGAATAAAGAATATGGAGCTGAAATCTACATAGCAAACTTCCGAATATCTATTAAGCTTCTTAATAAAATGGATCAATTGCTTGACAAGATGGACAGAGTGTGTTGTAATGAAGTTATAGAACAAGAACAAATTGTGATGGATGTTTATGAAATTACTTGGAAGGGGGACTTAAATGTAACATGAATGGATCTGATGGATGACTTATTCCCTAAAGGACACATACAGATATTAAACCAAGAAATTGATTTGGATAATTTTTTCCTTACTGGATATACAAAAGAGCTCTATTGAGGTTTTGAAGGACTTTATTACAAGCGACAAACAAAAGGATAAATTTTACTTATTGGATATACAAAAGAAACTTGTTAAAGATCTGAAAGATTTTTGCCTTAAACGCAGGTGACTGGCAAACTACCCCTGGGACTCTCTTTGAAGGGGCTAATGAATATTTTTAAAAACAATACAAGGTCAGTTTGTTCGATCAGGGCTAAAAGAGGAAAATAGTTCTGTCTGGTTGCCCCTACTGGACTTTTGCTGACAAAGAATGATTGACAAAGCATTTGGATTTTGTTTTTTTACTTAGGAGATGAGCTATGGGGAGAACAGATTATGTTGTATTTAGAGATGGTGATAGGCTGTTAAATTTGTCTTTACTTGCTGGGATAAAAAGGGAAGTTACTTTTTTTCTCTCTTTTCTTTCTTTTTTCCTTTCCATACCTCTCCTTTTTTCCCTTTTTTTGTATTTTTCTGTTCATATTTTTGCCTCAAGCATTAAGAGTTTTTATTGTGGCTTTTTTTTTTAATGGTTTTATTGTTTTGGAGTGGCTAGGTT